CACACTTCGACAATTTGTATTCAGTTAGCTCAATTTCTCCGATGGGAAGGATGGCGAAGAACCGCAAGGTGAAAGGTCCAAGAACTTGTAGGTGTTTCAAAAACTGTTGCTCAAGTCTGCAGAGACGATCGGTCGCTCGGGCGGCGCGGCGCAAATCAGCTGACGCGCAACTCAGCTGCAAAACCGAGGTTTGGGGGTGGAAACATGAAGAAACATGAATCAAACCGTGGAAAAGTAGGGTGACAGCTTGTCCAAAAGTTCAGCAGGTACACGGAGGTGATCAATCTCCGCATCCCCCATCGTGGAACAGCTTCGTTGGCACAGGTATCCACGATGGGCCTGTGCCCCCTGCCTGATTGGAGTGGTCGAAGGAAACCCTTTGTCCAGGGGTGGACACACACACACAATTGCAAGGCATTCAGGCTTGTTCCACTCACCTCCGTGCTTGTGGCATGGATGCCTGGTGTCTTCTTGACTGCCCCTTGCAGTCCTGAGGCCCAAGGGAACCAGAAGACGATGATGAATAAGGCTTACATTGGTAAAACTGTCAGCAGCAACTTGAGAGTGAAGGCTCCCATCGTCGAACAGTTCCCTGCCTATTATTGGTTTTTTCTGTGTCGTGTGAGTACCGAGTAGAAGGCAGTAGGGAAGGCAGCATGCCATGTTGGCGGGGCCTATAATGATATACTATATATAATATAATATGTATTGTGTCTTGCCTATACATATATTGCCGATTTTGAGGGCCCCCCACAGGAATAATATGTTTGGTGACTGTTACACCACGACAGTTCTTATACATATATAAATATACATAAGTATTATTGTCACGTTTCCCCGATTTGACAGATCCCCCTGAAGACTTTGTGGGAGGGTCCAAAGATTCTTAGCGGGTAGAGGGTGTAGTGAATTTGAGAATTTTCCTTTCAAGGGTGCTGGAGAGTCTGTTGATCACGACGCAAGATGCCCCTAGTGTGACTTTCGGCTGCCCTGAGTGAGGTTGTCATGTGTTGTTCCCCTGAAAGGAAGCTCATCAAAGGCTGCTGTAACAAGTTGAAGTCCCTAAGATCTCTGAAACTTGAAGCAACTTTTTGGATTTGTGTGGTACGTACCCTCCCTAAGTCCCTCACGTAGACCAGTGTAGAGCTCCTCTTCCAATAGGACGAGGCACGACAAACACATCCGGTGTAGAGGAACTCTATGTGAGTTCACTGAACCGTCAGACTGAAGTGTTTGGCAGTTCTCATCTTCTTTTCAGAATTCAATAAAGAGAATGGAACAAACACGGAAGGTGCTAGGGTCCCTTTAATAAGGCCCATCAAAAAATCACTTTAAGGGGCCGTACTTTGCTCTCACGCCGGCATGTCACGATCCACGGCGACAAGCGAGCTTCCGCGTCGCATGTCAAAGAACCACAAAGAAGACACAAATTGAAAATAACAAGACATCAAAGGGAATGCACCATGACGCCGGGGTATCTTTCGCACCCCGACAAAAAGCACGACACAGAGACTCAAGAACCAAATTGTCTAAGATCACCTCGGCTCCAGGAAAAACCCTTTGGATAAGTTTTTCCATTGTTCTTATTTCGAAACTCGAGATGGAAAGGCGCAACCACAATGCCCTTCAGTTTGCAATAGGCGAACCCATCACGCAGAATCTTGGCGAAAGCATTCGGGTGGAAATGACGCCAACATCAAGGTCAAATCTCCATCCCTTTTGATAGGCCAGCACAGGAAGGTCAAAGACTGAACACGCCAAACCATCTCCTTGCTTTTTTCCTATGTTTAATTCCTATCTTTAGACATGTTCTTAACCCATAGCCCAAGGGCAACAAAAGAAGCAGGTGTTCCTCTAGAAGAAATGCTAGCTTTGACCACAGACTGACTAAAGAAATGTGATGTTTGCTGTGCATTGGAATCACTCCATGCATGAATTATATTAAAGTGCTCCCACATACATGCACAGAAGGGTCTCTCCTCTTCGATTCGTTTCTTGGACGTTACATGGATTGAATCCTGTCTAACGGAATTATTATCGCGACCAAACAGAAAAAAACACACATGGGGCAATGTGATGCTGTGGTTGGAAGGTTTGTGTCGCAGATCAATTTCGACATGGAAGAGACTCAAGCCATGCTGTTGGCCGCGAGCAGCTTGGGATGGAGGAGAGCAGCTTGTTGATGGTGGTGGGTCATTGCACAATGGTTTTCCAAAAAGGCAGACTGTGATTGTGTGTGTGTGAGTACTTATGATATCATTGTCCTAAATGCTTAAAGTCTACTGCAATTACAACATGTTCCAAGACAACGTCCAAAAGCTGAGTACTAAACTGCGTCAGTCCAAGCGCAAGCTGATGACATGCGCTACTGTAGAAAATCCTCGTCCCAGATTCACACTTGCCATGCGGCTTTCTTAAAACGATGATCCGGCAAAATGTTGGGCTAGACGTGGTGGATCATGTGACACGCCGCATGCCTGGCCTGGGGACCTATCAGAATTGATTCACGAGAGGGATGCAACCTGAACGTCGTTGCAAGTTGCGTTTTCGTCAGGACTTGCGTCCTGGAACAAGGAAAGTCGCCCTCATGGTAGAGTCCTTGCTACTAGGAGTAATGCCGCAAGTAATGCCCTTGCTCCTAGTAGTGATTCCCTTGTTACTAGTAGTTTCTTGTTCCTAGTAGTAAGGCCAGGAGCTACTAGGTTGGAGATGCGAGGCTCTTCCAGGTTGAGAAGTGTGTCTGAACGTATGAGTGGTATGAGGTATGAGTGTCGAATGTCATGTAGGCTAGTTCCGATTGAAGACCAGTCCAAATCCAAAGGTTGATAATGTTCCGTTGTTTGTTGACAAACTTGGCGGGATGGCACCAAATTACCCCCGAAATGCCTGTGGAATGGAAGAGCATCATGGTAACCCTGCAGTAGTGTTTCCCACCACTTCTGAACAGTGGAGACCCCATCAAGCGGACCACGTTGCCCGACTGAGGGAGCACCAACTACAGCGAGGTCGCTTGTGAGTGGGTACGCGCCAATCGCCCCAGGCGGCTGGTTTCCGGTGGGAGCGATGTTTCGCAGTGAGACGGCGAATCCGGACGGCGAGCCCGGTCCGGCATCCCAAAAACTGGACCGGGCCTCCAGCACCAGTTGCTTTCTCTTTTAATTTTCTGCAGAGGGTTTTCCACCGGGTTGTGTGGGGAAGAAGATAGATGTCCCTAATTGGAGAGACCGGACGATGTTCTGCATCTCTATACAATCGTGTCCAAGGGATTGGCTTTGTTTAAATCTATTTTGGGGTCATACGGGTAGTGTTGGAGGTGATGATTTGCATGCACAGTAAATCCTTGAGCACCAGCTATTGCTCAGATGTCCTAGTTACTACGTAGTGAATGGATTCAGTGGGATGGGCTGGGATTCAATCCGGCGAGGAGTTTGTAAAGAAACTACCAATCGAACCCCACAGCCAAAGAGATAGAATGGTGTGTCCGTATGTTGGCGGCACTTTGACACTTTCTGCCCGGAAAGCCTCCGTTCCTGGCCACACCCGTTCCTCTCGACCGCTTCGGCCAGCCGTCAGATGGCACGCATGGCGTCCGGATGCCTCGAACTGCCTCGCCGGCTTCGGCGTCGTGGACACTGCGCAGTGCTTCCTCACCGAGAGACGGAACGCCACGAGCTGTGAGGCGCGGAACGATGCGGAACGCCACGGCCACGGCCTGACCAGAAACATTGCGAAACCAAGAGAAGCTACGAACGGAGCAAAAGGGCATCGCTACTTTAGGAGCAAGGACGCTACTGGGGGCTCATGGCCTTACTACTAGCAACAAGAAGCTACTGGGTAAAAACTGACAAATTAGCGATGGCCTCCAACCTAGTAGCGATGGCGTTTATATGCCTTTGCCTACTTGCCCACGCAAGTCAGAAACTCGCCGGGGCAATTGGAAGGTTAACATGTTTTTGTCCGTGGACGCATCCACCATAATCCACTCTACCAATTCAGATCCAGCGGACAGCTTCATGCAGTCGAAATCCATTTGATGGATGATGCTGGATCGTGTGATTGAATGTCAAGAGCTGAAATTGATCAGGAATCCAAGCGACATCCAAGCGAAAAAAATATCAGGATTTAGTAGTTAGATATGGATCTACCCTGGCAGCAAGTGGTAGCCTGTTTTCCGGCCTCCCCGGCTCAAGTGCCTTGGACTAATAGGCACCAGCCAATCGAATCTGATCTTCAGCTCCGTGAACAGCAGTTGCTCTAGTCACTGACCTTCATCGCCTTCACTCAGTGCCAGGTCTGTCAACCTGGGAGCTTTTCAGAAGCCTTTTTCGATGAGAAAGGGGCAACCTACCGTTGTGTGCCGGGGCAAGAAACATCAAGAAACAGTGACGAGCCAATGTGCAAGAAATAGCGGATGGTGGGGGATTGACACGTAACTGGTTAGTCACTGCGTGGGTTTGGATCAACACCATCTAAATATACTGTATATAATACAAACATATTGAAAGTAGATGGCGCAACCCTTTTTTGTTAACCATCTATTTTCAGGGCGGAGTTTGTGCCAGCATTGCAATGCAATGGTTGAACCTTCAGAGGCCCCACTATTGACGATTTCAGTTTCTGCTTCCGTCGAAGCCCCGATGGCTAGGGCTTTGACAAGACAAATATAAGAGAATTCAGGAAATAAGAACAGCATCCAAGCGAAGGACGGAGAGGAAGTATGTGAAGGCAAATCGCAGACTAGACCAAGACCTGTACGGAACATACCTTACATCACATCCGAGCAAGTGCCAGCAATTCCAGCAACTGTGCGTGATTTGAGGTCCCTTGTGCGGCGGACAGCCACCAAACACGAAGTGCCGCCAGCGCATGTGACTTGTGCCCTGCGGGCACGTATACCAAGAGTGCTGGTGAAGAGAAGTGCAACTCGTTCTCCGTCAGAGATGGGATGTTTGCTCATGCCCGAGGAAACACCCGATTGGAAGAGGTGCGTACGATTGAGGAGGAGTTCCATGGTTTAGGACTCTTTAGATGCAAGAAGGACTCAGCTGATGGTCAGTTCATGGAGGCACTCAAACGAATCAGAAATTTGGATTGGTACGTCTCCTAAATAGATCACTTATTCTCCCAGAGGCCAGGCGCTACAATCACTCAACGAAACGGGAAACGGGCATGGAACCCACTCAGATTCGTCCCATGTTGGGGCGTGCCCCCACACTGAAAACAAAACATTCACACAACGGAACGTTAATAACCTTTCTTGACATTTGAAACGATCGATATGCAAAACAGATTGTCGAAATCAAAGTCACTTCATTGGGTGGTTCGCTGCTTGTTTCAAATTGGGTGCATTTTGCAGGTGGCCAAAATGGCCAAAACTAACCTTTCGATTGAGTTATTGAGTTGCCACCCAGATTCAGAGCATTTGGTTGGTTATGACAGCGACATTTACAAGGCAGTCTTCGGTATCTCAAAACACACTCAGAACCCTGCAAAACTCGAACCCGCATGCCTTTGATCCAAAAACGCTACAGAAGTTCAACCAATATGGAACAAACCCTGGGCTAGCAAATCAGATGTGTGAAGGTTTAGGTTGCTATCTTGCAAGGTTGCTTTTTGCAGGACCTCCCCTAATAGTTTTTGAATCCGAGGTTCAACATGACCCATCCATTCCAAACATCTGTTGGATAGACATTGGGTGAGGCTCATGCTACACCTGAGTCATATTTATCCCACTCGGATGCCTTTTGGCAGGAAGACTGACGATGAATTCAGAATTGCTATGAATTTCCAGTTGCGATGTTTGGATGTGGTAACGACGACCAGGGTCAAGTCACGAAAGGTAGCTTGAGCTGAGTTCTCCTTAGCAAACATGTACAATCAGGAGTTGGGATTGTGCATTGAGTTTGGTTCCTGTAAGAGTTGATTCTGTTCGTCGGAGGGCGGGGGACCCCCCCCCCTGGATCAAATCCCCCCTGCGCCGGTTCACGCCGTCATGGACTTCTACCAGGGTTGCTTGTGATTGCCTGCTACCTTTCGTTCACCCCCTCCTCTCTCAAGTTGTGTCATCGAATTCATCGTGTTGACTCGGATCTGGAAATCACCCAAATTCAGAATTTAGCAGTTTTCCTCATGTAACTTTGTCAATAGATTTCCAGTAGAAGTCCGCCTTTGCCCCAGTGTATTCACACAGTTAACTCTTTGACCCACCGAGGCACCAGCTGCGAAGTGGGGCGATACCAGAGTGGTGAAGGAAAGACCATTTGCATGGAGTGCAGTGATCGAAGAACCACACTGTTTCAAGCTGGAGCTTCTTTAGAGGCTTGTGTTTGCACCTTTGCTGCACCACAGAGTAACACATGACCGGAGGCTGGTTTACAAGAGCTGAAAAAACCACGCGCATATGATTATGCAGCATAATGCATATGTTCAAAGCTAGGGGAAGTTGACAGGCCCCATTGAAACAGGATACTCCTTCAGGGAGAGCACATGGTGGAACCATGTGGAACCTGTGTTGCTGCCACATGTCAACAACGGTAACGGCTATCACCCTCTATTAATTTTGAGGGTGGGCAGCCGCTTGGAACACGGGAACACAGCAAGGTCAGAAGGACTTTATTGAGCAGAACGGGACCTGCAACAGTTGCGGTCTTGGGCTTCAGTGTCCTAAAGGGCGCCTCGTCTCTTCGGGTCGGGGTCGGTTGAGCCGTTGGAACCGGGGTGTCGGTATGCTCGAAATCTGACAAATACAATATACTGTATCTTATATAAAGTCAATAATCTATATATATACTGTATATATTTTATGAGAATAATTAGCTATAATGCATTATAATATTTCTCTATATATACAATTGACAAGGCGTATTAGACGGTATAGTACATAATTAATCATAGTTATACGACATCCATTGGTGTTTGATCACAAAACACTACGGTGCAACCTTTGGAGTTTGTGACGACCTGCCGTTGTGCTGGTTTGATGATCTCAGCGTATTTCAAACAGGGGGATGCTTCTGCGGGGTGTTCTCATTTTGAAGCACGTTTTTGTTCCAACCTTTGAATACTCATTTGGAGTCCATAGGAGTCAATCAATTGTGCATGCAGTCTCCAAGTGTTTTTGTGACTTTTTGTCGGTCTCATACTGGACGAGGAGCACTGTCGAACTCTTGCTGGGTACTGCGAATGTCACAGAGGGACAAGATGCGCCAAGTCTTCAGACACTTGCCTGCTTTCAGCGCGTGGGTCAGCCTGGAGGCTTGGAAAAGATCTGCACGGCAGATACTGGATGACGGATCCATATGGATTCATTCTGCCCAAAAACGAATCAAATCAGTTCGGTTGCGATCAACTTCGGATGGCCGTCTATGGGGATGATGAGTTATTCTTTCATGTTTTTTTGTGAGGAAATGCGATGCCGATCCATGCATGTCAACCATCGAGAGTGCCTTTTACTTTTGATACCTGCTGCTCGCATTCTGCTTCATTGGTTTTTGCGTGGCGGAGCCCTGTAGCAATCCAACTACACCTCACTTTGCACAACCCTGGCTGATGTTTTACGCGCAGACATGATGTCGGAGGTCGGGTCTGGGAAAAAAAAACACCATGAGGTCGGGCTTCCAAAGCGATCCTCACGGCGTGCCGTACAAGACCTTCCGCTGCCGGGAATTCTGCCCCGGCGGCACTCCCGGCGTGTGCTCCGCCGGGCGGATGGGGCCGACGTGCTCGGAGTGCCCGGTCGGCAGCCTGGAGCTTAAACGGACGGATGGAGACACTGCATAGGAAGAAGGGGAAAGACTCCCAGATGGTTCATGCTAGTCAGGGTAGTCGATTATTGTTTATTAGTGGTTGATATTGGACACACACGGGTTGCAGTTCTTAGTATGTGTTAGTATATGTGTTGCACCAAATTCATTTGTGATGGTGCTCGAGAAATTGGACCCGTAAAGTTCCACGATTAAGCATGAAGTATGTTCTTTTTCTTGGGATGAGCCTGTCAAGCTGAAAGTGGAAACAAAGACATGGCAAACGACTTGTGCAAGAGATTTGGTTCGTCACCAAGTGGCTGAGGGAGGACTGACACTTCCAGCTACAGACGCCAGGAGATATCCTTCTGAGAGAAATGCATCATGTGCATTGTATAGGGAGCGAAGGCTATTCTTATTTCGTTACTTGGCCTTCCCAGGAGCCTTCCCAGTCAGTGATTAGCTCTTTGCCACAATCCGATAGATTCGCCCGCAACATCCCGCAACTATACAGAAGCTGGTTTCCACAATCTGTGTTTTTCCAGTGAGCTCACCCTTCTCATTTCAAGTCCTCAGACCAGGCACCTTTGCTTCATACTCTGGTCCCTGCCTGCAATGTCCAGAAGAGTCAATTTGGGGACTCTGGTTGACCTTGCTTTTGCTGCCGATCCTCCCAGTCACCGCCACTCGGTGTAACGGAGGTGAACGGAGGTAGTCCGTTTGGACTCGAAGACTCGCCCTCGTAGCGATGGCCACGCTTCTACTCGTAGCTACTAGTAGCCTTTTGCTAAGCAACGGCCTCCCAACTTGAAAACAGAGACCTGGTGGGACCACATCCATGTCTTGGGTTTTTATGCTACTTGTCTTGCTCCAGCTGTTCCAAACGTTATGGGACTGATCCCAAGTGCTCCTGTGTATTTGTAGTGTTTGGAGCAGCCGTGGCTGTGAAACGAGAACCTGAACATAAAACGCAGAGACTGTTAAAGGACAACACCTTGGCCTTTCCCCAGCAACATCACTGTCTTAGAGACTACCCAGCGTGTTTTGCCTTTACCAGTGGTTTTCCGATTCAGATGTTAAAACAGCCTTGGAAAATTGCCCATCTGGGCAGGGCCCCAGCTTCTGTTCAAATCTGTTGACCACCAGAGGTGCAAATCAGGAGATTCGTTGCAGAAGGACGTCTACACGGATCTGAGACTTTTACCCAGAAGCCGTAATATATATATTATGTGTGTGTGTGTGTTTTAATAGTTTATTGTAGCTGTAGCTCGTTTCTGTGAGCAATCCCTCCCAACAAGCACTGTGGACAGCAGGTGATGGAGAGACATGAAAAGAACTTGTTTGGCCATGAGCAGTTACCTCCGGTTCAGATTGTCGAAATCAGCATCGCCGATATGGTTCTGAAGCTTTGGGCTGTAGAAACTCTTCTCCTCAAAGTCGAACATTCGACCCCTCCAAATGCCTGGATGAAAAAGCCCGATTAGAGGAGCATCACCACACAATAATGTGCTTTTCCCACCAATCCAGAAAGCCACGACAGACCAGCTTGTCAGCTTGTCTACCGTCGAAATTTGGACAACATTCGTCGCTTTGGGCGGTCAGATCGTTGTCAGATCTTTTGTCCGGTATACTGCCTAGCCGTCTTGATGTTCGCTACTAGCAACAAGTGCATCGCTTCTAGTGACAAGTGCCTTACTAGTAGTAACAAGGACGGTGCTAGTAACAATGTTCGCTATTAGGAACACATGTATACTGCCTAGCCGTCTTGAGAAACTGTGGGCCTGGCTAAGCGGCTGGTTGGTCATGGGTGAGCTTAGCAGCTTGAAAGGACTCCATGATTGCCAGCGCGATCTGTATTTGGGCATCTTTGAATATGTTGGTGAAGAAATTCCTTCCCAAGAGACGCACAACTGCGGTAAAAAATATCAAACAACTGTGGCCGTGGCATAACCGAGGCCATCAGTTACTACGTGGTGGCTCAGCCCTACATCCCGCGCAGCTCACCCACCTACGTGGTGAGCTCCATCCTGGGAGAGGCGATCAACCAGCTGCAGGAGCTCCTGGTCGTCTCCGCCGTACCCTCGGCGTGGCCGCCGCAACTTGGACAGGAATGTCGCGCCGTTCGACGCCGTTCGTGTGACCATCCAATTCCCAAATCTTTCATCCATCTCCACCTGGTCTTCAGAGTGAGGTCCATTAGACTGAACGTGCCGAACAAACACCGAGTTTTAGGTGGGGACATGTAAAGTCGTGTTCAGTGGTGTCCTCATGGATTTGGATTTTGGACCACGTTGGCATTCTCCTATGCTCCCTCCAGGGTAGTGATGGAGACGGCGGCAGTGTTTGAGATCCTCTCCTTGATGCTCGGCAAGTTCAAATAAATAGGTGGAATATGGTGGAATCAGGTGGAAGTGCAACTGCACGGGCTTCTGGGCACATGGCAGTTGGCACATGGCTTCGTTCCTGTTGGCAGTTGAGCCGAGTCGGATCGGCATTTCGGTGTCCGACAGCGTAGGAGTTGGATTCTATACAGAGTTGGAGTTCAGATGACATGCGTGTGTGTGTGAGCTAAGTGGGTTGATGTTTTTTTTTGGGGGGACAGTTGGCTTTCTGGTTCCCGGACCAGAAGGACTGCCATGCACCTCAATGCGGGTTGAGGGTCCGGTTGTTTTCGGGTTCTGCTAGTTGCCGCAGTGTTAGGTCCTGTATCAGTATCATGACGATCTCTGAGATTCTGGATCAAGTCTTGAGTGAAGCAGAGATTTCTTTTGAAGACATTGCGGAATTGCGGTCTTTGAATTGTTGTGCAAGAAAAGGCAGCCATGGCCCATGGCTATGAAGGTTTCAATTCGGCAGCTGAATAGTGAAGCCTGCACTATTCAGCTACCGAAATGAAGCCTTCAAGCGATAGTTCTTGAAGCCATGCCAAAGACCACTGGTGGGGAACTCAAGAAGCGCATCAAAGGGTGCCAGCATTGGGATGAAGAGTTCACACGAAAAAGAACCCGGGTGGACTCGTGGACATTGTCGTGGGACCGAGCAAGTTGCTGACGAACAGCGAGAAAGCTGCAGACGCACAGAGGCAATCTTGGGACAAAACACTGTGACATGCTCCGCCAAACTCAATGGATCTCTCTCGTTCGGTGAAACTCAAATCCCAAGCGGTGAAACTGAACTCATTCGGTGACTCACCGAGTCGGGTACCATCACACTATAGTCACTATAGTAGAGCCTTTGCAAGTAGCGATGGCCTCCAACCTAGGAGCGATGGCCTCCAACCTAGTAGAGCCTTTGTAGGTTGAAGCGCTTTGACTTTGGTACAAAGGCAACAAGTGCATGAGCAATGAGCCTACAAAGAGGTGTCTCGAACTTGACGAGAAAGCAAGGTTCAGTCATGTTTAATCTTTAGATTGATTTTAGACTTTAGACATTCAACTATATTCTGTAATAAGGATTTGTTTGATTTTATTTTGGTTTACCGATTAGTTATCTGGACCGGAAAGGAACTGGCAACATAGAGCTTCGACTTTTGATGTTATGTTCATTTTAACTTCATTAAGTAATTTGTTTCTTATGTCAGTCGGGCCCCACACTGAAGGACCCACGACCTGTTACTGTATGAAACCCATTTGTGAATCAAAAGGTGGGGTCACACTCCAAGAAGTGGTGCCATGTTTAACGCTGAAACGCCGTGGCACGCAACGGATCGTGCGAAAACACTCTTGCGGTTCGTCTCCAAGATCTTAGACGTGAAACAAACGTGGCGAATGTGGCGGATGTGTTTCGGTCTCACTCGTGGCCGGGTGCCGCGTCTCGGGTCTTGGAGGATAGACTCCGCAGGCTGTTCAACTCCAAAATTAATGGCATTTGTTTGTCTTCCGTACTCTTCTCCGCTTTTCTCTCATGGTGTTTGTTTCTCCAATGAAGTATCAGCATCTCAGGAACCTGGAAGTGGTCGGACTGGGCTGCTTCGTGACTGGGGGCACTGTGCGACGCTTCCTGGCGCATACCATGATCTTCCCTGCCGTGCTCCTCCTCGTCACTGGGATGACATCAAAACGACGAAAATCGGCACGAGCCGGTGGACCGAAGTTTCAAAAGATAAGCCTTAACAAGTGCCACGCTAGTAGTAACAAGTGCCTTACTAGTAGTAACAAGAAGCTATTAGTAACAAGTGCATCGCAACTAGAAACAAGTGCCTTATAATATTGCAGGAAGTGTGCGCGTTCTGTTGTGAAGACGCGCGTGATTAGTTTGTATTAGTTTGTGATGAAGTTGATGAAGATAGTGTGTGATGTAATGTGAATTGGACATGTTCAGTCGTTCTTTTCACATTCCAACGTGTCAAGTTGCTACGAGAACTGTTGTTTCGCCATGTTTTGCATCATCTCTCAGACTGTTGGAGACATTTTGCCGCTGGGCATCTCTACTTTGTCCTTTTCGATCGCATCCATTGCTTCCGTTCTCGAACTGCGCGGCAGAGTCAGAGTGTCATGCTCCGTCGACTCGGCTCCAGGCGATGATTAGGCGACCTTGCTCGCGTTGGCTGGTTTGCCTCACCAATCCACTGGTGACCTTGACCTATCGAGTTGAACCGGAACATGTTGGAACCCTACGGTCCAAAAACAAGCTAGAACAATGTTGGAGGAAGAAGAACATGCACCACCTGTGGTAGAACATGCCGTAGCTGTTGTAGCCTGGGTGCCAGTGACTCATCTCTGTGAGCCACGCTGGATCAGACTGAAGGCGTCGTGTGCGGGGTCTTACTAAGGTCGTTGTGCTATCAGTCCTCAGCCGCTTCTTCAAGGAAAAGACCTGTTTTTCACAGCGCCTGCGATGGACCTGGTTTGGAACTTTGGCGCTCATGGGTACCTTTTGTCAAACGACCTTCCCAACAATGGCAACTTGGATGTACAAGAGAGTTGTGCTGTCAAAACTGCCCAAACCAAACATGGTTTGTTTTTTTTGTTCATCCCATTTGATTCTGAATTGTCACGGAAACAACGAGGCGAAGTGGGAAATGTATTCTCTTGGTTCCTAGTTCCAAGGCAGTGATACAACTATGACTTTTACACCGGTTGGGGATGCATGCAGATTTTGGCAGACGGTAGGGTATCAGTTTATGTTTATTGCACTATCCACAACCTATCATTCTGCTGTTTGGTGTCTTTGTTTCTTGAGTTTGTGGCACTTCACAGGAAACTCAGGAGGCAGTTTTTCCACCAGAGGGATTTGTTCATGTTGGTCGCTGTTGATGACAAGAAGACCCTAAATTGAGAAAGCTCCATGCCTTGTTCACACGACATCCCCAAATACTCCTTATTAGGGCCATATTAGGACCCTGTTAGATAGTGCCCTATCTAGGGCCCATGAGTGGCCTTTCTGTGGTGTGGTTTCTTTTCCAGGTCGTTTAGACTCTCATCGCCACAGGCCAATGTGGGATTGTCACCACTGATGTGCTACGCACATCCATCTGGAGAAGAGAGCGTTCTGAAGTACAGCAACATCTTCTGTTGGACAGAGAGCCATGCGGTCATGCTGGCCATGGGTTGCTGGCACTCTTGTCCAACACGTTTTTGTGAAAGGATCCCAATTGGGCAACAAATATTTCACTTTTCGGAAGCACGCCCATTTTTTTCACATGTTCATGTGGTTTGGGAGATTTGCAGTCCAAATCATTCATCGGACTGTTTGGAGTAGTAGAACTCTGGCCCGTTTTGGACTCTCAACATTTGCAGCTGGACATGGGTATTATCAGAGATGTGGATGATTGCAGATGTGAGTCAAACCCAACACCTCAACCATGGCAGACTTCCCTGCTTGTCCATTTGGTTCATGTTCACTGGTCAACGAGGATTCCCATAGGATTGCCTGGTTTGACCCACTGCCAAGTTTATTCTCATGAACTGCTACTGCAGATATGTATCAAAAGGGGATCCTGGGGATTGGGACAAACGTCTTGCAGAAATTCACAGAATGAACAAGCATTTGGTGTTGGAAGCGTTTTGCAGACCTGTTTGTGGATTGATATGTTCTAGAGTTAGGGGCAGTGTTCTAGGTGCGTAGCTATAGTTCACCTTGCTTCACCTTATAGATGCTCTAGGCGAGTTGAAGAGGCAAGCGTGTTCTCCTAATCTATTGAAACAGTCATTTTTTCCGGAGGACCATTTTCTTTGCTCAGAGGCTCAGATTAGCCCAAACCGGGACAACCATGGATCTTCAAGTGCCACAGTGTCAACCACAAGCCACAGCATGACACATCGGGCTACCCACAGAACTCTGTGGTGCCCACCGACATGTCTCGCGCGCAGTGGCGAGGCTTCTCGCTGCTGCTCATCGCGCTGGCCTTTCTTGTTTTATGCCTTTGGGCCGCCTGGAGTGCTCCGGGCTGGTCGCCACAGGCGCAGGCAGCCGCGAAGTTCCTCTTCGCGGACTTCCGCCCGGAACATTGGTGGTATGGGACCTTACTGCTGCCTGGCATTGGCTGGGGGGTTGTGCACCAGAAAGTGGGTCGTCAGTTAGGCATTGAAACGATGCAAAGATCAGTCCAAATTCATCCAAAGATAGGCATTTCACACAGAAAGTACCACAACTTCACCGCTTGGCTGGCTCCGTGCCGCTCTATGATGGACAGGGTTCCAAGAAGAACTCCACCACTTGCTTCCCTGGAGTCCATGATCGCACGCCCACAATGGTCGTTGAGGAATTCAGAAGCCTTCTTCTGAAGGCTTTGACATCATAAGAGGATTACTGTTCAAAACTTTTTAATATTGACCTGACATATTCCAGATGGCTACTCAGCAAAAAGTTTAGGCCTTTCTGGGGGCCCAAGATTGAACGGACATGTTCAACTTGTTCTGAGGAAGCGTGGATTTGATTCTGGAGCCTTCTCAGGTTTCTATGTTGGTTTAGGGTCCAGAGATGTTGGGAGCTGCCAAAGGTAACCAAAAGCAGAAAAGAATCAAAGGCAACGTCCAACTGCCTATTTGACGACAGAGTTTCAGTTTGCCTCAGTATACCTCGTGTGCTCCTGGCATTCTGCAGGTTTGTTGTTGACTAGTCAAGATTTGGCCAGTGGGAGTTGTAAGACCCCTTCCCAAGATAATCCATGTTGTTCGACCACTATGTTACCCAACACTTGTCGCAAGAGCCATCGGTTTCACGCGGGATGGATCTATCCAGGACTGGACTGCCCAATTCGGAACTCTGAATTTTTTGCCCCCGTTGGACCAACCCCACGCCGTCACTCGGCCGCTCGGCCCCACGCTCCAGACTCTTTCGGGAGCTGTTGCTCTCAATGCCTTCGGTCCTGGTGCCTTCGTCTCCAGCGTTGCAATTGGCTTTGTTACAAGCCTGGCTCTTGCTCTTCCTCGCGGCTCGGAACCAAGACGAGACACGGTATTTTTAATGCCAGCGAATTTGGCGAATGACTGGAAGGTCGACGGTCCACTGTTGTTTTTTGTTTTTTTGTTTTTGTATTTCTTGATATTTATTGCACATGATTGCAAGGTTTGTCGTGTTTCGCTATTCTTGGGGGGTTCTTGGGTTTTAACATATCCACAAGTCTATTATGACCCGTGTTTGTGTGATGTGTTTGATGGACTTGATTCTCTTCTTTGGCATATGGGAGCACAAATTGAAGAAAGTGTATGACAGGAATACCCATGTAATCCGGAGCCTCGTGGGATATTTGTTGGATACCCAATTTTGCCCCGCACTAGGCCCACCTCAATGTCCTTTCAGAATTGCATTTATATATATATATATAGAGGGTGTTTGTGAGCCATGGCCAGGATTTATGAAGACTCCAGATGGGACCTAGTGTGTCCGTTCTGAACCCCCCAGTACCACAGAGGCAGAACTCTGCCCCGTAGCTTTAGCTTTGAGCAGACTCCTTGTCCAGCTGACTCCAGTTTTGAGATGCTCTGGTTGGTTTGCGTGGAAGGAACGCTGTGGTGTTCGGGGGTCCGTCTCTGAGGTCCTGCAATCGTATGTTCGACCAAAGAAGCTACCAGTCGTGAACTTGATTTCGGCTGTGACCAACTGCATTTTTGTGATGCTCTTAGCTGTTGGCTTGGGTGGAATACAAGGCAGCGATCAGGACCAAGTAGCTTTGCTGCATAATACATCACTCTTTTGTTTATCTATGTGTTCTTTTGTAATTAGTTTTATATTTTTTTTGTTTAAAGCTATGTTTTGTAGTTTATCCGGATAACTCACGTTCAGTAAGCAAAGCAAATCGTGACAGCTGCTGTTGGGGTTGGATGGTTTCCGAAATGTGCTCCACATCCTTGTGCGGAGTCCTCCAACATCATCCTTCAACCAGGATATTTTTCCGTCAGGAAAGTATCAGGATATGTTGGGCTGCGCTGGCACCATCCGGCAAAATAGTTTCCCTGGGGCTGCAGCTCTACATACAAATATATACATATTATGTGTAATATGTGGAAGGAGAGTCCAAAAACCTTTGAACCTCGATTTGGATTGGAGTGCAAACAGGGGGTTCTTCACTATGCCAGCGGTAGGACTTTTTCGACCGTCAAATAGGACAACTCCGACCTTCGGAGTGACACATCCGGTCCCCGTCTTCTCAGGTCCTTGAGACTGCGGGAGCCATCATTTGTATCCTGCCGCTTCGACGGAGCGCGGGTTCGAACGGGGTGGACCCGTCGAGAGACCAGTCGGAGCAGGACCAGACCAGCTGGTTGACCACTTCGGGCCCGATAAGTTCACTAAGTCCACCCTGAGCAGCTGAAATGGAGCGCAGAAATGCGACTTCCTACATGGCCGGTTGATGGAGGGCAGCCGTTGCACCGCTCAAGCGTGGAATCAAAGAAATGTGTGTTGTATTGGTGTTGGTTGTGAATCCACCGTCCTCAGGGTCTCACTAAGCAGTGGTGCAGGTGCAGGATGAACTGGGCATCAACAGTGTGATTGATGGACAAACAAAAGGATTACACTATTTGTTAATGTTCCCTGTAAGTCAACATGGACGACATGTGGTGGGGACGCAGTCTTATGATACATATGCGCTGACATGCTATATACACATATATATATATAACATGTGGAACACGGAAGATGTGCTTCCTTTGGTATTAAGTACAGTGCAGGATTTGTTACCTTAAGAGAATGTGTTCCGCAAAGGCACCGCTGCTGCATACTGCTGTTGGTCCTTGTGGTGGTAAGCTGATGTTTGGAACTTTCGATGACAGTTTGTGTGTTGTCATCCCTTTCATTGTGTGTTGTCCCCAAAGGCATCGAACTTGCCAAGTCCTTCAGAGGCTCTTCACGATTTTCAGCATCATCCTCATCCTCTTCGCCTTCGTCGCTTTGCTGTGGCAGCTGAACGTCTCAAGTACTGCGGAGCATTGGAGCAACCTGGGTCCAGTGCCTCGGGCGAAGACGATGTGTCTTGGAGTGAAGCAGAGACTGGATGTCCACAACGGGGGTGTGGAAACAGGACGTCACTGTGGGTAAATGGATCCACTCGTTTTTTGTTCATTGTGTGTTCTCCTTTGTGTAAGCAACTTGATCTGGCCAACTTGCAGGGATTCAACCAGGGGAGCGGATGTACCGAGTTTCAAGTCAGGGTAGTTATGTAGGTTAAAACATATCTGTTTGCACCACGTTTTTGGCCCTTCAGGGGTATGCATGGCAGACGCCTAGGTCCTAGGTCAAGTCCCACTATGGGATTATCCCTTTTGAGCCGTCAAACCACTTCTAGAGTTGAGACCCTAGAAGTTGACAAACCATGGTAAACTACTTCAAACTAGGTTGCTTTAAAGTGTTTGTTGTTGCTGTTGCTTTTTCAAGAAAGCAGCTGCGTGGAGGCTTTATAATCACGTGGATATGTTATACGACTTGTTCAATAATTTCACTTTCAGTATTTCAATCATGTTTGTAACAATGTCATGTTTACAGCATATAAAGTAGTTTATAAAATCACAAATATTTCAATCACATGAACGATAAGCATATGAAGCCACAAGCAGTTCATAAAGTCGTATTACAATTATTTAATTGAACATGTCATAAATATGTCATATTGTGTTCAATAAAATTACCCAAGCGCTTTGTTTGCTTCTTCGGCGTAGACGTGATCTGACAGCAGCACCCTGCAGCGGCACCAGAATCCAAGCTCCAAAGCGCATGCAGCCATAGTAAATAGTAGCCATCAGGAGCTCGCTCCCAAACCACACACAGGCCCTCTTCCTTTGCTTGAAATCAGAACCTCGTTATTTGCAGAGTTTGAAAATGATATGGGCCGAGTTGTTTTTTTCAAGGTTTGTGTGTTTTTCAGCTCAACCGAAATGACCTCGGATCGATCGAAGCTCGTCGTCTCAGGTATTTCCTGTTCTTTGGCTGCGGAACGGCGCTTGGTGGGGGATGTTTTGGAACGGAGAACCGGGGGTCAAGTTCTGCCCTGTCGAAGCACATCAATGCAATAACAGAATAGTGCGTTCCGAAGGGAAAATCGGCAAAAAAATGCAAAGATGAACAGCACTTCTGCCTAAAAATTGTCAAAAAGTAGTTTTTGACATGTTAGCCCTGACAGGGACATTTTGGCTGAGTTGTGTCAGACTCCAAAGCTCCAAGGAAAACCAGTTGCTTCTTTCGTTCTGAAGGTCATAGTCACCAGCGGGTGTCGGATGGTTGGGTGTGAACATGTCACTGAGTACTATTGATGAAGGGGATTCTCCACCACCTAGGAAACCCTGCTTATACCTGTGGGGGCCGCTGGGGGCCTCTAGATTTTTTCAGATAATTGTTTTTGCCCTGTAAAGGAAACGATAGAAATCACATGTTATGATATTTCATGCTATTTCGACAGCTCAAACAACCTTTGGGATGTGGGTGAAGCAAACGCAATAGACCAGGGCAGGTCTACCCCAAGGAATACACACTGTTGTGCACCAGACATGACTGGAACGTGAAGTGTTTAGGTCAGTCGGGAGGTGGGGCATTTGAGGTTGCGGAATCTCGCTCGAAGCATGGAGGTCGCGAAAGTGCACAAGGAGTTTCTTCTGGCTGCATGGGCCATGCTTCACAAGTTATTGTTTTTTGTACATATAATTTAGATATTATATATATATATATACTCCATCAAAGAAAGCTGGCACAGTTGGCACACGATCCGCACGGCAATTTTCTTTTCCAAACCCGTTGTTTTGGGGTTCCATGTTCGATTGCTTCGGTTGTTTTGTTTGAACTGCAACAAGTAGCGTGAGTTCAGTGTGGGTCAAACAAAAACACCAGCCAAACATGGTTGACGTTGGACCCATGCTGGATGGTTCACTTGGTTCGTGTTGCAAGGCCAGGAGCCGGGGTGCCATGACCCACAGACAGAGCAACGTGATTTGGAAGACCTCTTTTGATCCCAAGCAATCAGACATTATGAGCGATTCATTCATTGGCCACAAATTTCATATCAAGTCACCAAGTCAGCATGTGTTCTTAACTTCCCGGCGAAAGAATGGCACGACATGAGCCAGCTTTCTGGAATGGTTGAACCATGAGCCATCGCAAGGCCTCTTGAAAACACTTCCAGGACCCCTCGAGATACACTCAAGAAGTCCAAGAGAAACAGAGAGAAATGCCCGCAAGTAGACACCCAAGAGACGCCATCGAGACCATCCTTCGTCCAAACAATATATATTATGTGTGTGTGAGCCATCGTCTTTTAGTTTGGCCGAAGCCTAGATTGCTTGAGTCATCCATTATTCCAGAGACACTTAGGAACGCATGGAGGAACTGGGGACCTATGATGCACGTATCTGGGTGGAAAGGAATCAGACTGTTGACATGCTCGAGCGCCCAGGGGTGTGCCGCGGGCATCCTGCCCCCCCCCCCAAAACACCAATATCACACCCTGTAGCCCGAAAGATACTCAAACGACACGGCAGGCATCGACCAATCCGACATGTCAATGGCTTTTGGCCAACAGAGACGGTTCTAAATTTGCCATCACAACAACCAACGACATGGGAGCTCTAGACATGCTGTAGGGTGTCAAACAGGGGTATCAAGGGTTCGTTCTTCGGAGGGAGGCGAAAGCGTTCATTGCTTCGTCGAAATGTGAAGTGTCCTTGTAAGCCAATGAATTTGGGTGTACTGTACCCACAGTTCTGCGGTTTGGTAAGGTTCCAAAATATCACGGGCATCAACACTTTTTGACATGCTCACGGTCAAGTTCCTTCTTTGTTGTTTTGAAGCTTCAGTCTTAGCTATTCCTGCATCGAACCAGACCGAAACTAATCAATACATCTAGGCATGTTCACTTTCATGGAGTGTTTGGACTACATGCTATTTGGTTGGCATATGCAGAACTCTAACTTGGGAGCAGGGCCAGCTGCTATATGCTGTCTATTGTCTATGGACAAGTTCTCCTGCGGCAACACAAATATGCTTAACATTCCCGTTGGTACTTCCCCGGTAGACCTTATTTCAGATAGAAAAGGGTACGTAGCGACTTCCGAACCCAAAAGTTCAATGACAGCATAATTTACTTGGGCGACATAATCCTTGCCTTCCTTTCAGCTCCTTTGGAAAGGTGTACCAGTTTCTGGATGTTTTTGCAGTCAAGGCATGGTCCTTACTTCGCTCCTCATCCTGCAATGCGAGATTGGTATTGACTCCCTTGGTACTGCGGGAAGCGCAGCTGCTGCACCGCGCTACGCGGCCAGCGGCAGCAGCCTGGGAATCCGAGGCTCACAGGCCTCGACGCTCGGTGGCCGTAAGCTCCAAACCCAAGCCAGGTCGGTAGGATTCCCACCATCTTTGCCCTGGTCGGCTTGGGCCAGGGCAGCTGCCAGTGCAGAAAACCCGAGTCCCGCAGGGTCTACTGACTGGTGAGCTCCTGATCCAACGATAACTCCCTTGATGGAAGAGTTCTCCCACGCCGCCTCAAGCCCCCAAACACCGTACCTATAGTAAGGAGTTTCCCCATGTCCCTGTTGCCCTTCCATCAAGATCAATTTGTTCTCCGAAACCTGGTTTCAGGTGCGCGTGGAAGCTTTAACAGACACAGTGGCAGATACAAGGCGTAAAATATCTTAGAGTGTGTAGTAGTGGTGTGGGTATATAAGCTTAGGTATATATATATGTTAATTAAAGCGTTTGTTTATGTTGTCCTTTTCTCTAATGCATTTGAACGATTTAATCTTTACCGTTGTTTAGACCGTTTTCCTTTTTTGTTCTAATCGGTTTCCCCAGGATGGCCTCGGCCATCTCCGCCGCCTCGGTGAAGACCGATACCTCGGGGCTGGGCCACCGCGGCCGCATCGCGACGCCCTCAGCGGTGGCGCTGCGGGCGGGGCTCGGAGGCTTGACACGGAGGCTCCGTCCGTGGTGTGCGTGGTGTGGGTCCGAACCGAACACAAAAGGAAAGGATGATTCACAAAAAAGCAGGATGGGTCTTCATATGTTTTCATGCACCAAAGCAGGAGGTGTTTGTATTACTGCATGCATGTATGACAGGTGTTTGATGATTCCCATGGTAGAAGTGGATCCTGTGCGTGGTTTTGAGGTGCGGAAAGAATCCAGAGAGTACTCGGTTGGTTCACATGTGGGTGTTGGTCTTCCAGAGAAGGATTCTGTTTGATCGAGGTGATATTTTAGCTTTGCCGTTGCCTCATTTCCATGAAGTGAATTGGCTCCCCAAACCGTACAAGCTGTTGCATGAAGACGTGTTTGTTCGTTTTGGGGCACGTTGAGGATGAACATGTGTGTTCGTAAGAGTGGATTCAGCATGTACCATTTCAATTAAAGGATCCATGAAGAGACTCTGGCGAGTTTGACCACAGGTAAGAACACTAGATCCTACTGGATCGGTGTAAGAGGGCGGACAGAGATATAGAGATGGATATTACATCCCATACTTGTAGTGGACATGAATACTTGAAGTACCATTGTACCAGTTCGCTTTGTCTCAAAGCAGATTCTGAAGGACTCCAGAGCCAAGAAACATGCAGATGCACAGGAACATACAAAAACCTCTCTGCTCTTCACCTTAGACGGCACCCCCCCAATCTCACCCTTGCCCTATCAAGTCGCGAAACCTTCGGTGCGGAACTGACGCTTCGGGGCGCCGGACCGACGGCTGAGGATCAAGAGCGAGAATGTCAAGGATTGCGAGTGCGCTGCAGCGGTCCAATCAGCTGCTTGTTCCTTAACTCCGCGGGATGGCGCTGTCTCTAGTGAGCTTTGTGATTTTTTCAGGCACCATGACCCGCACCATGGCTCTGACATCCATATGGCTGCGGTGTTTTACAACTGATGAGGACAAATTATATGGAATTGCAGCTAGGAGTGGTGAAGCTGGTCTTGAGCCACAAACGAAAACACGTGGAGTTTAGCACACACGCCAATAGGCATTCTTAGCACAATCCCCACCTGAGTTCTTTTTGTTTCACACTTTGATCGAAGCGCAAGGGACCTTGGGTACTTGGCACCCGACCTGAAACATGCGAGCTCTCCCAACAGTATGTCTATGTACGTCTCCTCAAACTGAATACCTTTGCTGGTCGCATCCAGCCTGTTGTAGACCATGAAGGAGCCCTCCCAGATCCCGAAAGATGCTCCAACGAGATCTCAAGACCCAGCCGAACCAGCCCCTAAAGATTTAATTGTTTCAATTGTGTCAACACTTGTAAGTGCTCCGATTTGAGATGATCTAATGATCTACGTCGATTCAATAAAGTAACATTGACTCGAGTGACTCAGTATACTTTCGAACATCCAGATCATCGATCGACCTCTTTCGACTCACGACACCCACAAGACGCATGACCACCTTTGCGGGTCGACGCAAGAACGAACTCCACTCAGAACGCTCTTCGATCAAGACGACTCCAGCGACAGCGCCGACGGCTCCGGCTCTGACGGCCGCTCCCCGCCTGGCGGCTCCCCGCGTGGCGGCTCCCCGCGTGTCTCTTCGGGGCGGTTTGAGGAGCGAGAGTCGGGAGCGGAACTCTGCAGATCTTAAGTGTAGATCTTCTATGTTTGACCTACATTCCACGACATTTCACCAATGATCTCACAAATTGGAGGCCTGTCTCTCAACTGGAGGTTGCAAGAACTGGAAAGAGACACGGGTGACCTTGCTACCTGTTTGCCTGAGCATGGGTCAAGACAACACTGATTGGTATTTGCAGGTAGTCATGCCATCAAAAGATTTGATTCATTCAGGGGAGGAGGTATGGTACGGATGGGTATGGGGTTTTCGATCGTAGCATTTGCCAAAGCGTGATGGAACACCTCAGTTGGTCTCCCGATTTCAGTTGTTCTGATTTCTGCCAAAAATACATGTTCAATGACAATTTGAATGTAAAAGTGTTTCCTTTAGATCTTCGCAAGGGTGAACAACCGTTTGCTGCTTCAGAGGATGGAAGTGACACGAACTCCAACGAGAGAAAGGCGAGACAATCCAGCGGGACAGTGAGTTATGGAGCGCTTTTGTTGCACTAAGAGTTAAATCTCAAAGCTCACTTAGTAGCATTGGGTATCAAGTTAAACAGTTGAAAAAGGATAACCAGGCACACAAGAGTTAAATCTCAAAGGCTCACTTAGTAGCATTTGGTATCAAGTTGAATTGGAAAGGATATGAAAGGATGACCAGGCAAGTGTTCAGAGTCAAAAAAGCATTGGAATCATGTTTGCTGGCCCCCCTAATGAGGTCTTACGTAAGATACACTGGATATTGATATGGTTCCAAGATGTTCCAAGAGTTTATGTTTGTTTGATCGTGTTCTACATGTGTTCCAATAGTTTCTTTGTTGGTTCGGAAAGTTGGATTTGCTTTCAGCGGGCACCACTCAAAGCACACGAGATCTCCCCCTTTCCTAACCTCGGGCCAATGGTGATGCAGACATGACACGACGCGACGGAGTTGCAAACGTTTTATTGCCAGATTCTCACAAGGTTGATCTATCCAACAGATTCTTTAGAAAGGTTCTGAATCGCTAGCAAAGGCAAGCAAAAGACCAACCTTTCTGTTCTTATGTGGCCATTTCTACGGTTGTATGGGACAAGTCATAAATACGGGTACCTCCGGGTTCCCCTGTTCTCCAAGCGACCAATCAGGTATTTTTCGCTGCAAGTCGCCAGGAAATTCCCAGGTTATGGTGGTGTCCCCAAAGCCTCCAAGGTCATGAAGTAGTTTGGAATGCAATAATTCTACTTAAGAAGCTCCACAAGGGACTGTCAAACAAACTGGTTCTTGTTTAGATGCACACACTTGTCTTGAAGAATGTAAAAGAGAACAAGGTCAGACCGACAGATAGTTTATAGGAGGAGCATCTAGTATTAAATTAGAAAAGCTACCTCGCTGTTTGAAACGACGGGAAGACACACACACACACACACGCACACTCTCGCTAGGCGAGTTCTGTGGTGCAAATTCGCATCGCTGTGTAGCGATCAGTCGCCGCGGTTCGCATGGATTGGAACCCGGGACCATTAACATGGAGCAGCCGACCTACTTTCGCCTTCAGTGTTGCGAAAACAGAGTAGTTTAATATAGTTTAATGCTGCAATGCGGATGAAGTGTGAAACATAGGGCCAAAGGCCAGATGCCGCGTTGCACCTACAACTGTTGATGCCTCTCCTACCTAATCAGTCATGAACCTTTAGCCATCTTTGGGGGTTGGTGTCGGTGTGCCTAGGAGGTGGACAAAGTTTGGGATTCATCTTCATGCTCCAGGAGGGGCTTTCCGGATGTAGATGAGGGGGGCTGTGCGCAAAGCGCCAAAAGCAGCCATGGGACTATTTTTGTTGAGTTCTGGAGCCAATAGCTCCGGACACAGTGACAGGCTAAAAGAAGACACCCGGCTCGACCACTTTGACGCACAACGCAGGGAGGGGTTTTACGCGTTGGGGAAAGATGGATCAAGGGGATGGACCCGTAACAAGAAGCTAGTAGTAACAGATGCATCGCTAGTAGTAACAAGTGCCTTACTAGTAGTAACAAGAAGCTATTAGAAACAATAAGCTAACCTGCCAACGAGTCATCGGACCCACACGGCCCCAAACTCTACCGACACACGGTACAAATGGTCAAGCCCAGGAGCCCCGAACGTAGCGTCCTTGCTCCTAGTAGTAAGGCACTTGTTACTAATAGCTTCTTGTTACTACTAGTAAGGCACTTGTTACTAGTAGCGATGCACTTGTTCCTAGTAGCGTCCTTGCTCCTAGTAGGTTCCTTTTCAGGGTCATAGTCAGCAGCTCACAAAGAGATTGTCACTTCCAACAGAGGTGGCCATCGTTTTTGGAGTGGTCCAGTCATGGCCGGTGCCAATCTTGGAAGGAGCCGAGGTTTCTAGCTCTCATTGCTCTCGTTTTGGTTTTGCAAGCCATATTTGTGGTGATCCATGTCAGTCATTTTTCAGTGCTCAGCTTAAACCCGAGATCCCGATGTAGATCGAGAAAGTACACATCCACAGAGATAGCTATGCACTTATGGATTCTGCAGGGTTATACTGATCCTGAGAGTACCTGCCTATAGCAGGCAATACATTGATGAGCAGACAGTTACGCGCAGCCAAAGCATTCTCAGTAGCTGAACAGAACTTCAAAGTGAGATCTCCATGGCTTGTGAACTGGCTGCTCACACCGATTGTATCACCACTTCCCACATTCAAATCGGAGAACTCTCACCACTCTCTCAGTCAATCTGGCCATTCTTTTTTCGGAGAACTGCTTCACTTCGCACCGATTCCACCGTCTCGCAGGTTTGGGGCCACCGGGGTGGTCCCCGCTGGGCCGCCTTGGAATGCTTCTCCGACGAGGTGTGGACACCGACGACCACCCGTGTGCGCTCCGCTTGCTTCGGGACTCGGTGGGTGGCGCCGTGTTCGGTCTACGGGACTTGACGAAAGCGTACGACCCGGACGCTTCCAACGACTCCGGTGTTTTCCGCGTCCGACGGCTCAGAGCGTCCAGGACGCTGAGCGCTTGGCAAAAGAGATTGCCAACTACAAGGCGGCTCGGCGCTTGGGCTTCGACGTGCAGTCCTGAGCGCAACAATCCATTGGTCGTTTCATTGGTCGGCCCGTGGGTCTTGAGTGGGTCCTGCATGGCCAATTAAGGATCATTTCTGAAAGAAGGCCAGTCGCATGGGATTCTTGGGTGACTGGTTTGGTAGCTTCGGTTGCCAAGATCCTTTGTGGAGTTTTGACAGCTGAATCACCAAGAGACATTCATTCCATTTTCCCCCCCACAGTATGTTGTCCTGCTGGATCCTACAGATCTCGATGGACTTGACCAAGTAGTTAGTTGATGAATGATTCCGAATGCGACTGGGCAGCAAACCCCAAAACACGAAATCACCATAGGTGCCCTGGGCCTAGACTGGAAAAAATGAGTCTTGTGACTTGTGTGGAGTTCCTCACTCAACCCGAACAACGATTTAATCAAATCTGCTTCCGGCTCACTCACTTGAGGACTTGAGTGGCAAGTAGTGCTGGAAAAATGGTGATGGTTTCATGTCATGGTGTGAGAACTTCTGTTTGTCTTCGCTGCTGGGATGCCTGTCTTTCAACAACATGTTTGAGTCAATAGGGATTTTTATCTACTAGTAGCTTCTTGTTCCTAGTAGTAAGGCCAGGAGCCCTATAGTAGCGTCCTTGCTCCCAGTAGCGATGCCAGGAGCCCCGATCGTAGCGAACCTTGTTCCTAGTAATTCTGGGTGATGAGACGAAAAGGACGGACTCATCCGAACTGAACGAAAAGGACCTGCCAGATGTAGTACCGATGTAATTAGACTGAAAAGACTGTTGCAAATTGGCCAGCCTATTGGGAGGGTAAGATTTGAGGGGGTGATAGGATTGGTGAGGTGCTTGTTTTGGGAGGAAAAAAGAAATATATATATATACTATATGTTTTATGTATATTAGATATCAATAGTGTGTTTCTATGGTCTATAGGCAGTTTTACTAGTCGACAACAAGGCGAGAGACAGGGAGCATACAATGACACAATGTGTCGTATGCCATCATATGCATGTATGACAGCATAAGACATGAACAATGAGGGTGCCACCTCACGTTTGAAACGTAAAGATGTGTCACCACAAAAATACAAACGTCATTCCAAGCCAACAAAGCAATGTTTGTCAGAACTGTCAGCAGTTGCCAGGCATGTGATTGATTCCAAACCAAAAAAGAGAAGGCCAGGGAATTTGTGCTCTTCCAGCTCCCTCATGTTGTAAATGGGTGGTTACGAGGTAGGGATTTGACTGGGGTAGTTGGGATAGAGATGAAAGTGGAAGGGGTTTGGAACGATGAAGTTTCCGCCTCAATTTTAAAGGCGAGGTGTATATATATATACATATGTATATATAGATAGATTATATATCGATGAATAGTTGGCCCCTGTACCCTCCACCTTACCTTGAACAAAAGCAAGAAGCAATGCTGGGAGGCTCCAGAGCAGGCGGAACCGCTCCAGGCAGAGGGTGGGCGGCGGGGTTGCAGGCTGTTCACCAATTCGCAGCACCGTCCTTGCTCCGTGGGAAGTTGTGAACTCAATGATTCAATCCTGGCCAATAGCACAGGTGGTGTTCCAAACTTCACTCCAAGCAGAGCAGCAAACATGGGCCTTGAAAGATCAACCTAGACCTCCTCGAGTGTGGCATGTACATAATATGAAGACTCCTGGAAACAGCGTACGACTTACAAATCACATCGACACGGATCTTTCCTGGAATGGAACTATTGATCAATCCCCAGAGCATGGGATTCACTGGATCGGTTCTTACTAGACAGAGTCTTGCTTTGGAATCGCTGGGGCGCTGCCCTTCCCAAAGCTTAGATGCACCCCCAAGAATCCATATCTCAAAACGACTATTGACTGTTTGCTTTGGTTTTGAGATGCTTTGCGGTTCGGTTGTATGTTTCGAGTGGTTAGTGAACCAGTGACTTTATGGTTCTTCATCGCGTACGGAGTTCGTGCAGAGCACTGACTCGCCAGGTTGAGGTGGCTGGGCAGAACGCCGTGGAGCAGGAGGAGACGTGGCATCTTTTTGTTCCGTTCGTAGCGTCCTCTTGTTCGTAGTAAGGCCAGGAGCCCCTAGTAGCGTCCTTGCTCCTAGTAGAAATGCCCTTGTTCCCAGTAGCTTCTTGTTCCTATATTGGAATGCTTGTCTTTCTGAGGTGAGAAACAGTTCTGAGGATTTGGGGAACCAAAACAATTTGGCCGATAAAAGGAGGCACACGGAGCGGTCAAGACAGGCCGTCATTCCACGGGAGTAGGTGATGGTGAACAAATCGAATTTGCCAGAAGTAGTTTGGCTGAGATGTGAGCCTGGAGTTCTTTGTTTGAGGATGCAGGAGAGTTGGTTGTTGACCTACAACACAAGAACAATCCACAAACACTAGAACAATCCACTTGTCCAAGAGATGGTCAAGAGCACAATGACTCACGAACTACCAACACTTTTGCAATTGGATTATCCCATGTTATCCTGCCCTTGCTGGGAGAGCGAGGATGCTGAGGCACTCCGAACAACATGTGCAGTGCTTTGTGTTGCCCCAATACCTCGAAAGAGAATACCTGCATGTTTCATTGTGAGTGCTCCATCTAGTATACTGCCCAAAAAGGCAAAACCAAAGCAATAGGACACATACTAGTTACTAGACTGTAATTCTACAGAAGGGGGTTGGCATATTCCACGTCCTATTACAGTTTGGACAAGAACTTGCCGCTCGAAGGAACGCCACAACAAGCAGCGGCATGAGGAGACTCTGATGGTTGGGAGGGTGGGGTGAAGTGCCACCGTCAAACAGCTTGACAAGGGGGGGGCCGCCGACCCTTGCAAAGGGATCTCATCAAAAACAGAGTCGTGTGCAGCTCAAAACTACGACATCTTGTAGCGTTCCTTTGCGAGGTGGATTTGTCCGAGCAGCTGGCCTGACTGGCGACAAGAAAACATATTATGACTTTGATCAGAAAACAGAGATGAAGATTCTTATGGGATCCTATGCTCATCTGGGTCATTCTTTCGAGGGGGACCATGTAGTAGTCTGGCACATGGTGTCGATGTGGATAGCCAACCCCAAAAAATCATAATGTTTTGACTTCATCAACTCACCATTTTTCCTCTAGTGGAAACTTGCATTGTAGATTTTCTCGTTGAATTTTGAATCACCTGCAGTATCTACCACATCATGTGACAGCGTATGACAGGATATGACAAGTCCTTTTAGATATGGCTCACAATGTCCCCTTAGCATCAATGTTTAGAGGCGCGGCACCAGCAAACCGCATCATAAGTTTTAGATAGTTTTATACAGTTGTTTTCGCATCGATTGTGGTCTGTTACTTTAAGTATTTTTAATTGTTTTTGAACCTTTACTCGAGATATCTTGAGACCAGTGGCACTCGACACAAGCAATTTGGGGTCTTCGTCTTGACGCTTCGAAATGCCCTTTGCTCCTAGTACTGTAGCGTCCTCTACTCTTTGGCCTGTCGTAGGGCTACCGCCAAGACCACCGTGGTGGGGCATGGCCCGAGCGGCGGAGAGAGGACCGAGAGTGGACGGCGCCAAGTCTTTGGGTCGTCGAGCGTTGGGATGCGTTGGGTGTTTCTGGCGTTTCCTTCAGAACCGTTCGAAATCGTTGTGGATCGAACCCGTAAAAGTCGCCTG